TTGCTATCTGTCATTCCAACAGCAAGACCAGGGGCCAAGTCCTTTCCTCCCCCTGAACCCTGGGGCACCAGAGGGCCATGCAGCTTCTCCCGTCATTACGGCCAGTCAGCAGCTCTGGGCACGCCTCCTTCCAGACAAGACACAGGTTATGACCAGCACACGTGTTAGCATGGTGCTATACTCATTGTCCACTTATTTGTGCCAGGGCTGGAAGGGGCCTCTATCCAGTCCAACCCCCGGCCTGAGGCAGGATCAGTTCTGTCCAAACCATCCCAGACCCACCCACCCAGCATCTAAACTCTTCATAAAACTACCATCAACCCTGCTACAACAGAGACATCACACCCAACCCTGCCCCAGGGAAAGCGGGGGGACTGGGGCAGCCGACATCCTGCTTTTGTAAAAAGTTATTAACATATGCCCCTGGCAGAAGCCATGCCCCTGCTACAAAGGAAGGCAAAGTCCCCCCAGTCTGTACTGATCTGACCAGGGGTAAATGCTTAACACCTGCCCGGTGCTTCCCATCCTTGGACCAGCGGATGCAGAGGGCAGCCCCAGCACCTGAGCTCAGCTCTTTCCATTACATCCAACTCAGGAGCCCAGGAGGAGGGAGAAGCAGAAACTTCTTAAATTACAAGGCAATCACAGAGCTCCACGATGTGCCAGCTCTTTGGCAGCAGTGTCAAAACACCCTGCACCATGATTAATGGCCTTTCAAGCCCATCTGCTCTGTATACACACAGGGCACAGCAGTTCCTCTTCCCATATATTCTGACTCCCAGCAGGTTGAGCCCTGATGTTTGCTACCATATTTGGCAGGGCAAAAAGGACCGAAGGCAAAACTTGGCTGATTTGCCAGGCAAAAACAACACCTGGCTTTGCAAGCACTGTGATCTGTGGCCTCAGGCACCCGGACGGGGCCTGACTCTCCTCTCGCCGCTCCTGGCATCTGTGGCAGATGGCAGAAAAGGTTACAATAGGCTCAAGCTGCAGGAAGGAAGGTTGAGGTTAGATATTAGGAGAAACTCTCTCACTAGGAGGGTGGTGAAACACTGGAACAAGTTACCCAGAGAGGTGGTGGAGTCTCCATCCTTGGAGGTTTTGAAGACCCATCTAGACAAAGCCTTGGCTGGGATGATGTAGTTGGGGCTGGTCCTGCTCGGAGCAGGGGGTTGCACTAGATGTGACCTCCTGAGCTCCCTTCAACCCTCATTTTCTATGATTTCTTGACAGGTCATAGAAGATTCCTCTTTGAAATAATTTTTTTCAATAGCTCCATCTACCTGGGAGGGCATTCCTAGTGGGGCTCCTTTCTGGGCCCACTCCTATTCACTCTTTTTATTAGCAGATTGGAAGAAAATAAGCTTATACAATTTGTGGATGACAAAGTAGGAGGAGGTTGTGGGCACTATGGAGAACAGGATCAGAACTCAAAGCAGCCTCCACACATTGCAGAAACTGTTCACGCTGGAGAAACACATTGGAGAAACTGTTCCAGAAGCTGGATGAAATGACACAAGGACAAGTGCAAGGTACTACTCTTTTGAAAGAAAAATCAAACTTGCGGGGAATAACTGGCAAGGCTGCAACATGTTGGGAAAGGATCGCTGACCAGAAAGTACACCCGAGTCAACCATCTGATGTAGTTACAAAAGCAGTGACTCCCATTCTGGGGAGTACGATCAGGAGTCGGGTACCTAAGGCCGGAGGGGTAGTTATTCCACTTGATCTGGCGTAGCCTGAGCTGGAGCACTGCATCTGGTTTGGAGCACTGCACTTTAAGAACAATGTGGACAAACTGTGGAGACTCCAGGAGAGGGCAACAGAAATGACAAGAGGCTCAGAAAGCACAGCCCATGCAGAACGGTTGAACAAGTAGGTGTTTAGTCTAAGAAAGAAAAGATAGATGAGGGTCTTCCAATATACACAAAGGGATGGGATGAAGTGTTCCTTAAGGCCACGAGAAGGCAAGAAGGCATTATTTGTGGAAGAAAAGGTTCAGAAAAGATGCTGGGGAGGAGGGGGACCTTTCGAAGCACAAGGAGAGGGAAGCACTGGTACAAGCTACCCTGAGAGCTGTGGGTTCTCATTCACTGGAGGTGGGTGGAAGCTTCCAACAGATGCACAGCTTGAATACAAATTCACTTCAGATCCATGTTGTGCTACGTTTGAAAAGGGACCCATTTATTTTCAATTCCCCAGGTCCAAAACTCCAGACCAGTGGCAGCTTCTGGACTAAATTCCTTATGGAGGGGCAGGTTGTGATGTTTCAGATGGCAAGTGTAGAGAATGGAGACAGCAAAGGCTGTCATCTAGTCATCTCTAGGTATGTCTGTTATGAGGGATGCCCATTTCATATGTGCCGGGGGGGTTCCAGCATATAACACCAAGGAAGTTGCATCCTCCAAATTATTGCTGCTTCCTTTGCTGCTTGGTTTGAGCCCTGCCTAACTATTTGAAAATGTCTCCTTTGCTAGCTTGTTGACAAAGCATCTGAGTTCAAAATGGCAAAGCTCAGTTTTCTGATGCAACCCCCCTGCCCATCCGCTAGTTTGCTCATCTCACCATGTAGTAAGGGTCTGTCTTACTGTACAGTATAAGACAAGGTTTGACATTGCAGCTCATGTCCAGAAGGATGAAGCTGGAAAGAGCACAGCTGCTTGAAATACGAGGTAAAGGAATGATGGCCTGCTATGAACATGTTACCAGACTAACACCAACCCAGTGAACTCCAGCACCAGTGCTATCAGGCAAGAATAGAAAGGAGAGGGAGACAGAGGCAGCTCATTCAGAAGCGTTGCAGGATAGCGTGGCCCCCGTATTACACCTATGCCACAACCAGCAGATATGGAAGAGCTCAACAACCTCCAACCCCAATTCATCACTTGAAGAGGAGGAACACCTTGCTGTAGTCATGGCATGAAAATCTGACACTTAAATCCCAGTTGAAAATAGCAAGCAGGAAGCCAGATATAAAAAGATTTAGAGCTCATTTTGCAGTTGTACTTTCTAGTACTGAAGAAGATTTAATTCTCAACAGCTGCCAACAGAGCTAATGAGGAATTCTCCTGACAAACCAGTTTTATTGGACAAGGTGGATTCACCGGATGTGGCACATTTTGAGGAAACATCTTGGTTTTGATTAAACTTTCACCAAACCAGACACACTCCCTTCAGCCTGGTTCCATGACAGATTCTCCGTACAGACGGGCCCCAGGCAGAAACTGAAGGGCTTCCCAGGCTTTTGACAAACCTCCCATAGTGTCTTCCCTGCCTGGTCTCCGGTGGTCCCTGGGTGTCAAAGCATCTGGCTCCATTTTGTTCTGGGAGGAGAAAAACCCCAAACCAAAGCAGTTTGAAATTCAGATTTCTTCCCCCAGCTCTCCATTTCAGCATTTCCCACAGGAGGGGTTTTCCTAAACTCTGATAGCACGGTTAAACTTCTAGGTTCTGCTCAGAACAAGAATCGTTTCACAACTTCCCGAGAATGGGTAAGTTTGACCAGCTCTCAATTGCCGTTTCTCCATGCTGCTTTGTAGTCAAATATATCCTTTACATTCAATCAGGCTATCCAGGAGGATACATTATAGCCATGACACATTTACCTGAGCAATGTTGTAACTTAACGGACATTTATTTATATTGACTGTTTTCTGACATAAAACAAAAAATAAAATGTACCATTTATTTTCTTACTAGATTTTTATATTCATGAACCGAGTCAGGTTCCAAGTTCCTCTTTGTGCCTTATTAACATGCACGACATTTTAAAACTATTCATTAACTAGTCTCAATTTGGTAACCAGAAAAGAAAATAAAAACACTTATTGAAACATGTTTTCTATTTAAAATGAATTGATTCATTAAAAAGGGAAGATTATCTGGAGCTAGTAAGTTGAACTGATGGCATCTGGAAACAATGCCTTACAAGTTGAGAATGAAGAGGGCCAGCCCCTCCCACCAATTATTTTATTTATTGATTGAAAGAGACAATACATTTCCATGTTTCAAGACTTCAACTGGTTTCTTCACTGAAAATGGGGAGATCATGGAGGTGAACAGCTGAATCAGTTGAAAAAACACACCTGTAGAAGCTACTGTCAAGAGATAATACAGTATTTCAACACTTGTGTTCCAAGTGCTTAGCTGATGGCTTTATCCCACTTCATCAGTCTGACCAGCTCCGAAGTTTGGCATATACAGCCATGAACTATTTGTGTAGTTTAACATCATTATAGCAAATTTAGTCATAACACAGGCTTCAGTTTCACAGATGGCAGGAACTGCTACCACTTTCATTTCGCTGAGAAACAGAATGCTGCTGGAACAAGCACAGCTGCAGATACACACGAAGAGAAGAGAAGATCTAGGCCCACCTCTGTCTTTGCCTAGCACAAGACTAACAAATCCAGCATCCTCTTTGCTCAAATGATGGAAGGAATTAAAATGACACCAGAGATATGAAAGGAAGTGCCTGAGTTACTGTCTCTGAACCTGGACCACATCCCTTCAAGTTCCTCTCCAAGCTCCAGTCATTTCAGTCTCTTGATTTCTCTTCTTTCCATGAAAATAACTGAACTGGAAGACAAATGTGTATTCAAACATACTTTATTTATTCTTTAAACAAAAATTACAATCAAGTAGCCATAAGAAAGGAAAACAGATATATGGTACAGGAGTCACACTATTACAAACCTAAAAAAAAAAGTTAACTTTCTCAAAGTAGTAGCAATTCACAGATAGTAATAAAATATCCTTGTGTTACATTTTGATCTGTAGAGTAACAGACAAGAAGTCTACTTACCAAGTGTGCCAATTATTCCTAATAAGGAAACAAAGAATTATCCAAAACATCCTCACCACAATCAATATAACACCAAGGTAGCAGGTTCAGTCCCCAGTTAGACTAGATGATCTCCTGAGGTCCCTGTCAGCCTTACTTAACTATGAATATGATCCCCTTCAATTAAAAAAAAAAAATATCTTCCTTTTGGCCTAGCTTTTTTTTTCTTTATCATTTCTCTTTAGCAAGCTTCCATCTTGCCAGAAGTGCAGAAGCTAAATAAAAAGAATACAGGACAAAAGGCCAATAACTGTCTTCCTTGATGGATTTGAGAATCACAAACCTCAATTATGAAACCATCTACTTATGCTTTCTTAAGCTATAGGTCTTATCCTCCTCATTATGCAGTGACCCAAAACTAATAACATTCTAGATGAGGTAGATGAGTTTAATCTGGGGAAGATTTTAGAAGCATAGAAAAAATCTGTCTTATAAATCATGAATGTTTAGGGAAGTTATGTTTGATTAAGGAATTTAACAAAATGGGAAATTGTTTTCAAACCCTTCCTCTCTCACTCAAATACTTAATATCCAATTAATTGATTTTGCACAGTTTCCCCTTAACCTGAGTTTTGTTGTACCTGTTATTAAAATCCCTGAGACTGTATTTTAACTTTGCTTCATGAAGCTACTTTTACAGATGTTCAAGGTAAATATCTTTATTCCAGAACTGACTGATGCGACTGAATCTTAGGATGCAAAAGCAGGTTGCCCGAGTAGTGACAACAATATTTTTAGTACACCTTTAAGGAGATCTGTTCTGAGTTTATTTATGGCCATGCTTCATTTCAAAAGACTGAAGCAGCAGGAGGTGAAGCTGAGAGAATCAGACAGAGAGAAAAACTCAGTAATTCACTACTTAAGGCCAGATTATATGAATTTTTCTGTAGTTCTCTATCCCCTTCATTTTCTGCCTTCATTTAGGAAGCATAATGAAAGGCAAGGAGTTGCCTTCCTCAAAATATAAATCAGAGATAATAATGTTCAGGACTTGAATGTATCAAGGAAACCAACCACAAACATACAGTACTGTTCTGATCATAAAAGTCAACCTCACATTTGCAGGGGCAGTTTTGGAAAAACATACCTGCTTTTCCCCCTGTAATGATTACATAGAAAGTCTTTGAATTACTGTAGTTCTTACAAAATCCCACAGGAGGATACAATAACCCAAAGGAAAGCACCTGGAAAGTTAAATGCACTAAAATATTACAATAAAAACAAGCTCATATTTGAACTGCTTGCACAAACAAAAATACTGTAAGTACAAAGGTCAAGACAGCTGGGAGCCTAATGTGTGTACAAGCCGAGTGATTTTTATGGTTCCTTTGGAGGAAAAGGGGTGGACTTACAATCAGAATGGTACAGCAACCAGGGGCAGTATCATGAGCAAACTATTAGTAATTCACAATCCAGAAGGAAAGTAGCAGCAACAAGGTACAACAAAGTTAGCTCCTACTTTCAGATTCTCACAGGGGAAAACCAACAAGAAGAAAAGACAAAAATAAGACAACGTCACCGCTATATTACAAGGGAGAGAAGTCTGTTTGCTCCTTGGGTTGGGCTTGTCACCTTCCACCCACTACAGGAGCCAAGGCAAGAAGAGGAAAAACGTAGGAAGCAGCTTCCAGCAGAGGCAGCTGCTGAAAGGCAACACTTAAACACAATACCAGGAATCATCCTTTAAACAAAGCATAAGCTAGCTCATTGAACTCACTAAGGGGAGCTACTAGAGGCTAAGAGCTTAGCAGAATTTAAAAAGGACTAAACACTTGTATACACAGTGAGAATGTCCACTGTTGTGTTACAACATCTTTTTTATATATACATATATATGTAATTCTTAACCAAGGGTTAAACCCTTCTGGTTCAGGGTTTAAAACAGTCACTAACCAAGGCAGAGTGGGGATGGAAACTTGCCTTCTGGGCAGGTTATTCCATGATCAGCCACTAGGTGGTTGCTTGCACTTTCCTTTGCAACATCTCGAGCAGGCCATTGTCAAGATGGTGCTGGAGGAGGTGGACTCCCCACCTGGAACCAGCCGTGCTAAGAAACCTGCTGTGAGCGAGTTTTTTTCTGTCCACACCTCTGCCACTTTCTGCAAAAGCAAGTGAGGTGCTTCACAGCTGTGCCAGGGCCCACTAGAGGCAGCTTCAGTCTTGTGGGCAGCACAAGCACTAGCCAGGAGTATGACGAGGCCAGGGGGTTTATGTACATGCCCACCTTGGAAGCTCCAGCCAGTGCTGACAGTAGAGGATTCAGACAGCAAATGTCAGGGCATGACTTCTGGGTAGTATCAGAGGGGGCAAGTGTTCAGGAGGGATTCAGCAAGGTAGGCTGCCCAGCCTCATTCCACAGCACCATTTGAGGTACACAAAAGCAAGAGCTGAAGTCTTCTTCCTCTGTCTTCTATTTGTAAGCCAGAGCTGTATCAGTGCTTGTTTCCAGAAATGGTGGTCTCTGGCACTTCTATCCAAATGACAGGGTTGATCTCCTCTTCCTTAGCCAGCTTGTCATAGGCATACACCAAGCCATCCTTGGGGTAGTTCTGAAAGAGAACATATGAGAATTATTTTGTGGGAGATTTCCAGCATGCTCACCTTCTTACTTTTCACTGGCTACAACAGTTTTACACGTGGCAGAAAACGCAGCAGGGGCAAACAGTGCAAAATTAGATCTCTTGGGGATATGGGTTCACTCTTGTGGAAGAGAAGCTGCTGCTCTAGCTAGCAGTGATGGCACTCTGCTTGAAACCAAGGCCTGGCCAAAACTGTGACAGATTCTGGTCAGAGAAAGACAGGTAGGGCATGGGAAAATGAGAGGTTCAAGACATCAGGAGTGCGTGCAGGTAGCAGCAGATCGGTGACATCTACTCTGTTTTCTTCATGGTTGTTGAGCTCCTGGCAGTAAGAGACTTTTGTTGGGCAGAGAAGAGAGGGAAGGACAAGGTAAGGGACAGTAATACTGCAGTAGTTGCGACTATCTTCCTTTCCTGGAATGAAACATCCAATGCCCCTTGTGAAGGAAGCCCCAGCCCAGAGACCATCAATACCTTCGTCAGCCATAGCTGTTCAGTCACGAATGCCTAGGAAGCTACAGGGGCTGCAGGAAGGCAACTCTGCTAACTAGCAAGGGTAGCATAAACTTCTGTCTGCTGAAGATGGCTTGCTGTCGAGTCAGCCACCTTTACTGCATACCCTAAATGCACACGTATGCCTCAGCAGAGAGTTGAGCACAACCTGAGCAACAATCCCAAAGATAAGAACTGTTGCGTCATGTAACATGGGGTGTCTGCACCAGGCCTTGTTTCCCTCCCAGAAGTATCTGAAATGCACATACAAAGCACTCCAGAAAATCTGCTCAGAATATTTATGTTGTTAAGCAAAAAAGGTGAAATTTTGGCTACAGAATTCATACTAAATTTACTTTCTCACTGTTATTTTCCCCAAATGAGACAGCATAACAACATGACAGATGACAAAAAATACAAATTAATCCAGAGGCATGCTCTGGAATCAGATCCTAACTTTTTCATATATCAAACTTAAACCCATCAAAACAGAAGCCAGATCTCAAGATTTAACACCAAGGTTGCCGATGGACTAGGTAATCTGTTGAGGTCCCTTTCCAGCCTTACTTCTCTACGACATCTATGACAAACTGAACGATTGTTAGACAGAAATGTCTGTAACACCTATTTGCAGACTGCTGAGCACTAAATCCAAAACAGATATAATCTGGCATTAAAACGGAGAAATAGCATTATTTTATGTTTACACGATGGAATTAAGATTTGAGTGTTCCTGAAACATTAGTCAGCCATTTCAAGAAACTGGAGGAGAGGGGACTAAATTATATAAACAGAATTCAATGAACTTGTGAAACAAGGAAGTACTTGAGAAGAAATAATTTAATTCACTTAAGATGATATAATAGATTGTTTCTGTACATATCTCATCGTCTTAAATACCTGACGTACATAGAGCATAACATTCACTTTAAATACTTTTTAAAAATAATTTTGAAAGTAAGGCAAAAACATTAATGCAAGCATAGGAATTAGAACAAAACAGACTTAGTCCTAATAGTTCAGATGACAGGCAGTTCACAGGACACTAACCTGGGGATCCTCATTTTGCTCTAAAAACATTCGTTTCAGTATTTCTCTAGGGTCAGGAATAGGTGGAAGTATCAATATCTTGAGCCTTCAGGAGATAAAAGTAAGAGTATTAGATTGCACCAACTGCTAAGCCAAAATATTTCAATTCAAAGTTATACTTTGGAAGTAGCAATGCAAGTCAAATGCAGCTGGACTCTGCTGTAACGTATCCCCCTTCTTTACTTCTTCATTTCCAACCAAACATGGGAAAGGAATCATACATTCTGCTCTGGGGTATTTGTGAACTTCCAAAGTCAAGGGACATTGCAGAAGTAGGTCTGATGAAAGGGAGGCTCAGGATTTTTCATAGAGAGTACAATAACTCAGATTTGGACTTCATTCCCTGGCAAGGAAAGGACCCTCCTCAGCTTTGGCAAATTAATTAGACAGCTTTCATGCAGCCAGAATGTAAGTGTGGTTTATAAACTTGAATTTTAATAAATAAACTATAATAGTACCTCTGCTCCTTATCAGTTGTGAAGTGAGAATTAAAAAGAAACTAAGCACTGCTGAAAACATATATACTATGCAGGGGCAGGGAACTAGGGCAGAGATGGACTACTTTGTAACTCTAGAGATATATCAGAACATATGTTTATAATAAATGGGAAATTGATTTACCTTTGCAGGTAAACTAGTAGAATTATAGTAGACACTGCTACTACCAGTGGAATGATGACTATTAAACTGATGTAGAATGTGGAATCACTGTCTTCCGTCTCTTCACCTGCAAAACAAACAACATCACAAAGAAACTCATCATTTTGTGAACAATGAAAGTGAAGACTAATTTTTCATATCATGAAAAATGTGTAACGTTAGGAAAAGTCAAGTATTATTAAAACAACATACCTTCAAAAGAGAAGGCTAAGAGAAAACTTACATCACACTTGTAATCAAGTTATCTAGTCAGATCATACCTACAGTACCCAAATTTTTACAGTACCTAGGCACTGTAAGAACGAACCTACATAAGGAGAAGATCTCTAGCTTATGGAGCCCTGTAAACTAGTGCTAATGCCCAGAAGCCAACATTAAAAAGAATTCAGATCGATTTATATGGACAAAGTGTTCTTACCTATGCTCTTTTCTTCACTCCAGTCACTCCAGAGCTGGCTGCTGTAACATGTCAAACTTGCTTTTGCTCTCACTTTGAAAGTATACTTGAACTTTGGATGAATACTTGGAATCTCTGTTTTATTGAATCGATTCTTAAAATGAAAAGTTAAGATGATTTACTCAATCTTGTTACCATATACAAGACATTTATTTTCATTTTGTAGTTTTAACATTATCAGACATAACATTATTATTAGAGCCTTTTTTGGTTTCTGTAAGCTTTGGACTTCATAAATGTGGTAAAAAATTGAGATTTCCACAGCATGTATTATAATTTCATTTAAAAATGACGTCAGGTTCCAAAGCAAGGACATTCAGAAATCGAGGTTCAAACTAACAGAGCAACTACACTAGTTCTGAAGCCAACAGTCTGGAGCAATGGGCTGCCTTCTCTTTGAAGCACCAGACACCTTTGTTTCCATTTTAATCGGCAAAATAGGAGTGCTTCTCAAGTCTCCCCCACATCAGTGTGTCATGATCATTCTGAGGAATGAAACAGAATGAATGAAACAGAGGCTAACCCACATAAAGACTTCCATGATTATTTTGCACCTAAAAAACCAGTTTCCAGAGGAAAGTCCATTTGCCCCGAGTATCACCGAAACAAAAGGAGGCTTGAACGCTTTATACATTTCATCTGGCTGATGGACAACTCCATTTTGTTTACATCTTAGGAGCGCACAGTCCTCAGGCTTAGCTAAATTATAAGTCAGTGAAACTAATATATAGCAAGACAAGCTGTTTTCCTTACTGTTAAGATGGCACAACTAGTTCTTCTACTTGGGTGTAGCCACGCACAAACAGGAGCAAGTCCACAATGCTTACATAAAGGCTGATTGTGTGTATTTCGATGTGCAATCATTTGAAACCCATCCCAAGTCTCAGTCTCTTACCTCCTTGCTGAGTATATGTACATTCACACTTGCTCATTAATCAGCAAGGTGCTTTTCCTTACGATAATTACGTCATGTCACTCAAAGACATGTAAAACAATGCCCTCTTAGAATAAATAAGTTAGTAAATCTGGCTGAGAGATCTGTGCTATCCATAAGCCGAAGGCCCATACCAGCCAGAAGCAGACACTGCCACATGTATGTGAACCCTGTCTTGGATCCTGTTACTCTGGTTAAAAGTTCAACATCTTCATTAGCGACCTGGATGAGGGTGTGGAGAGCACCCTGTTCAAGTTCGCTGATGACACCAAGCTGTGGGGTAAAGTGAATACGCCGGCAGGCAGGGACCGCATCCAGGCAGACCTGGATAGGTTGGAGAAGTGGGTGGATCTGAACAGGATGCGGTTCAACAAGGACAAGTGCAGGG